ATAATTTTTGGTATAGTAGTTGTGACTTATTCACACTATATACATTTGGCTTCCGCAACATTTGTCTAACCAGATTAGCTCAGATTCATACTACTATTATAAAAGGGAAGAAATCGGCAAACACCATTATGCTATAGAAATGGGATTATCCCGATTATCATGTAAAGACAACTAAACAAACCTCAAAATATGGTTAACGAAAAGTACACGATAGATAATTAAGAGATAAATCTTTTTTAATGAACCATGAAATCAATAATTTGTTTATATAACTATTGGGAAAAAAAGAAAAGAAAAGAAAAAAAACTGAACACATAAAAGGTGAAGACATTTTCATTTAAAGAAGCAAAAAAATATTGAGCTTACAAAATTGACGAGAGGCTAGATAGATACACATCTTCCCTCAAGTTCTTCAACCAATATAAGAAACTCCTCTTTACATTTCTTTAGGCCTAAGCACCAAAAACAAACAAAAGAATTATAGAGGGAAAATTTCCGGCAAGAGCTGAGCTTCATTTCTCAACCAAGGAGATACCACGTGTCAACAACAGAGCATGCCTGTCACCGAGCATGCGTGACCCGCCCGTGACAATTCTAAAAATACCATACTCAATGTCCAAAACCGGCCACGTGTCAGATTGTCATTGGTCCGAAAGCCAGAGCTGGGCTTCCCCTATTGGTCTGTCCAATTTTCAGCTGTGACTGAGAAACCTTATAGTGCTGTACACATACTTTGTTGAAGAATTTCTGGGTTTTGGACTAAAGGGTAGTGAAATATTCTTTTTCGCTTTGGTACTTTTCTATTAAATTATTTACTGAGAAAAGTGAATAGACTGGTCTGTGATCTGAGAACTTTGATTCTCCTCTAACATAACATATTTGTTTTAGTCCTTCACCTTTCCATAATATCCTGTCACACCTGCAATTTAAAATTTTGGAGGAATTATGTTTTAGTACAGTTTGTTTTATGCAGAAAAACAGTAACTTATGGTACTTTGATGCAAGAATTCAACTACATAAAAGCATTTTAAGTCCAAGATTTCTGGAAAAAAGGCTATTCAGTGCAAAAGGCTAAAAATGCAAGATTTTTCATAGTACTACGAAAAAGTTAGGACACTGAAAGATGTTAAATCAGGAATGATACAAAATCTAACATGTCTTATTGAGTTTGTTGCCAATGTGTGGCTTTCTCATGACATATTAACAAGAAAACAGTAGTTTACTGTGCAAATTTACCAAAACATTGGGATTACCATAATTAAGGACAACTTTGGCAAGGGGAGTCATGACACCCCTTTGTCAGGAAATTATACCGCATAAATATGTTACATATTTTATTTTTATGTATATATACTATATGTTTATTCCCCTTAATTTCTTCATATGCTTACTTATTTATATTTGACCCCCTTTAGTAAAAATTCTAGATCTGTCACTGGGTCCGAAGGAGGGTCGCATCCTAAAGGGTGTGCTGTAGACAACCTACCCTAGTGCAAACATTAGTGACTACTTCTACAGCTCAAAACCGTGACCTATAGGTCACATGAAAACAATTTTATCGTTGCTCCAAAGTTTCGCTTCGAGATTACCATAACTGATTATTAAAATAATTGGTAGTTTGAACAAGTGGATAGTTTTCAAATCTTATGCTCAAATAATGTGAATATTTTTCTTACTACCTAACACCAAAAAATAAAAATAAAAATAAAAAAAGAAAGAAAGAAAGATTAATTTGTCCAGAAGGTATGTTTCTGCTGTAGTTCAAATTTATGGATTAGAATATGCTTTAAGATATTTGTTGCAGGATTAAATATCTTCGGAATTTGGTGTAACAGATCAAACAGATAATATAGATTAAAGTTTAGGTCTACAAGGTAGACTTTTAGTGTGGGAAAACCATCAAGATTAGCGAGATTTATTAATCTGTCAGATTAAATTATCAGATTTTCGGAATCTGTTAACAAATTTAAGCATAAAGTTCACTATAATGACTAATCTTTTAGCATAAGATTGTCGTTAATTGTGCAATATTATATATTAAAGGTAGAAAGCCAATCAATTTTTTTACTTAGATTAAGTAAAATCCTCATATGGTCGGTGCATCTCCACCCCCCACCCCCCAAAAAAAAAACCAAGAAATGAAATAAAATAACTTATTAAGTTTTTGGATTATGTTATTTATTTATGTCCCTAGATAGAAATCTAAAATGTCGGTTGATAAATGCACGTATTCATGATTATCTCAAATGCAAGCATCTGATAAATATTTTATTAAAATGGCAATATTCCATTAGTCTTAAAATACTAAAAAGAGTAATTAATTTTGGAAAATTACCAGGCAGGAGTCCGCCGCTTTTCCTTTGATGTGCAAGTTTGAACGACATAATGGTCAGAATTGTAGAGATATTTATACGTTGGAGCAAAGTAAATATTTCCTTCTTTCCAACCTTTGAATACTCGTCCTGCTTTTTGCTCTATCCTTAGCTGCCATAACAATTAAAAAATTTAAATATTTTAAATTTTTTTACGTGTTCAAATTTTTCTACTACTCCCGCTTCATTTTATGTAGAGGTGTTTGAGGGTGCACATAGTATAATAAAGATGTTTTACCTGATCTTTTTCTAGAAGTACTTCCCAGTTACTGTTGTTTACCAACTCGTAGGTATCCTCGCAACCGGATGCAAGTCGGTAATTCAAATCTCCAAGCCAAATTATCTTGCTACATAAACAAAACAAGAAAAGGAGTAAATTGTTAGTAGTTATCTAACAATGTATTTAGATCAGTATCGTTCCAGTTTTATTAGGAAAAAAATGAACAAAAAGGAAGGAAAATACGTACTCATGATCCAAAATATTATCAGGAGGAAGAGGTTTTCCAATAATCCTACTATGTGAAAACTTTGTTTTCTTTAAAATTTCCATGACATCTGAATTTCTTTTAACCTCATCACCTTCTTTCTCTCCGGATGCCAAATGAGTACAAACGAAACAAAATGTCTTGTGATGCAATGTCATACTGATCGATATTGAACCCTATATATTATCAAGAAAAGATGTGTTACACGATCAAAATCAAGAAATTAAATGTCCATAATTAAACATGCGATATATTCAATTCCTTGGAGTTAATTTGTACCTTATTTCCAAGATAGCCCATGATGCCCGTTCCAACACAAGAAACCTTCAAGTTGCTAATGTGTCGATACAAGTCGGTACGAGTCCATATGCATAGAAATAAACCAACCATTTGTTTGCTTGCAGCTAAGCAATATCTATTTTGCTCAGGGCTAGAAGAGTTATATCTATTTGACATGCAATTTGGACTGGGCGATCCATCGTCATTCATACTCAAGAGTCTCTCCCAATCTTCTCGCTCGAGTTCATTTTCCAATTTGATCAAATCTGAGAAGCTGATTCTTGGTTTAAGGTTAGATTGTTGTTGGTGCAAGTCATGGAAGGACGGGGATGAACTTTTTCGCTCGGAATTTGGGGTGTTATTAGTGATGTTTGTGTTGTTGTTCAAAGATTGACGAATCAACGAAAGCCACTTGGCAGCTGGACCACTGTCCTCTGGACCTAGTACATTGCCTGCATTTAGAGGGACAATTTCCTGGAACCTGTTCATAGCAGAGGGGTTAAAAACTTAAAAATATTAGTGAAAATAAATTTACCTAATGCATTAGTAAAAGCACACAAGTTTACCAGACAATTAAATTCAAACAAGTATATACGGAATAAAGACCACATCTATAGTAATAAATGCACCACCACCACCACCAACAACAACAACAACATACACACTATAATCCTACAAGTAAGATGGGTCTAAGAAGGGTTGTGTGCACGTAACTTACCCTTACTTTTAATAAGACAGGGACGTTATTTCCGAAAGATCCTCGGCTCATCTATAATAATAACCGACAGTTCAAAATTATAGGACAAGGTCTTTTCTAGCGTGGCACTTGATGTAAGCCACTATCACATCACATAGACCAAAATATTGGACATAACACTCTTTTATCCAAAGTGACATTGACCATTCATATTACTTTCGCGCACCTTAACTATTTCGTATCTATCTCCTATCTCCTGAGTAATCATATTTTATTAAATTTAATATTAACTTTACTTTACCATTTCATATCATTATATGAAGACTAATACTCTTTTCGTCTTAATTTGTTTGTATAAAATTTAATAAAGAGTGAAAAATAGATAAGGAAATTACCCAAGCACATAGATGTCAGCTGGTGCAGTGGAATTCAACCAGTCCTCTAAGTTCAACCCATCGTGTGGTGACTTGCCTCCTACATTCCATGTCCCCACGAACATCCTATTTATGGTTTAAATCATACACAAACAAGTACATAAGAATCTTTTAGAGACCCAAAATAAAAGATAAATATCAAAAGTAAAAAAAAAAAATTAACGGGTTTTGCATATGAGTTCAATTTTCTTCGCCAACAACAACATATACCTAGTGTTATATCACAAGTGAGTCTGGGGAGGGTGAGGTATAGCAGACAACCTTACCTCTACCTTATGTGAATAAAGATGTTGTTTCTGATAGACCTTCGATTTCACTGTTATCATTCTTTTGAATATTTTGATGGTGTATGCAATTACACAAGTATGTTTATTATTGGACCACGCATGCACATCAGAATAATATTGGCCAAAGGTGGTAATTTTTAACAAAAAACCAGCACAAAATAAAATATCATAGGGGATAGTTAGAAGCTTCCAACTTTACAAAAGTAAACCATACGAAGACAAGTTGAATCCATTAGTTGACAAAGACAAAGTAGCTGCACTAGGCAAGGTATTAAGTACAATAATTTTCCTAAGTTAACTAAAAAGTGTAGTATCTATTCAGAAAGCCTATGAAACCAGCTAACTGTAGTTTCACATGGCCAAAAACTACTTAAACCAATGACTTATTAGGCACTATAGAGATCTCAATTTGCACATGGCCCACTAAAACAGAGTAACAAATATTCTTTCATCCTTAGCTAACAATATTGAGTCCGAAAACTTAGTATAAAATTGTCTTTATTAGCTAGTGAGCACTTTATCTTACAATATGAGATTTACCAGCGCAAATTCAAATTTAGTTGAACTTTAATGCGAATACCGAGCCCATATTGAGAAGCCAAAAGTGAATTTGCACATGGCCAAGAGGTACTTAAGCCTATGACTTGGCTCAATATGCGGCTTCTAGATCTATGCTTTTGGTTATTAAATTCTAAATTTAGTCTATCTTACATTAACTAATTCAAGTACTATGATCTAATTATGAACCTTAACATGGGTATGCATTAAATTTTAGAGTTCCTTTTGGCAAATACCTAAAAGGGTAGCGTAAATTTATATTTATTAATATCAAAGATTCAAAATTAGGAGATCATTCTTGCCTTACCTAAGGTTTTGAAGATCAGTGACAGTGGATGCCTCTTTCTCCAATATTGGCCGTTGAATTATTCCATCATTTGTTTCCATCAACCAACTTTCTGCTTGTCAAATAATGAAATTACTCATAGTTTAATTTCTAATTTATCAAAATAATAATATCCACATCATAATTAGATAAACATGATCTCCTATAACAAGTTACAATTAAAATAAAAAAATGACACTTCTAAAACTTCATGTTTTTTTATTTATCTACCACCAGTGATTTATTTATTTATCTCCAGTGTTATTCTTTACCGATCATTCAAAAATAGTCATATATAATTAAAAAAAGGCATAATGTTCTTATAATATCATGCTAAATAATCTCAACAGTGATATAAAAGTAAAATTGAACTTAATTTGAAAAGTTAAGAACTTAAATCAATAAATTAAAAATAAACATAAATTATTTAATATTGAAAAGAAAAATATATGAATAAAGTGGAATTGATGTGTAAATGATAAGATTTTCGATTGATTTTTAAGGAACAGAAAAGTAAGAAAATATTTAACTATAGTTCAAATTATGACTTTCTATGGAAATTAGTGAAAACTAAAAAAGGAATGATCACACTAGAACTAGGGACTAGGTAGGTCCTGGTACACGTGGCATAAGGAGAGACAATGATTAGATACTAACCAAAAAAAGCTCTCAACTAATTGTGATTATACTATGTCAAATCACATAATAAAAATCTATCAAATCAACGGCAGAGATTTGCAGTCCATATTTATGAAATATATCAAATCAACGGAAAATCCGAGTAAAGCTGTACTTCACCGGAAAAAAACCTCCGATCACCGGAAATCTTTACCTGACAATTCCTCCGGCACCACAACACAACTCCCATCGTCTGAGCAACTCTTCCTTCTTCTTTCTCCTCTACCCATCCCTATTAGTTTCATAAAAATAAAATTAATATTATTTTAAAAAATAACATTGTACAACTGCTCTTAAATTAATAGAAAAATATATATTTTTTGAATATACGTATATATACATTTTTGTATGTTATATATAAAAATATATAAATTTTATACATTGTCGCGATTATTGAACGTAAATAGTTTTAGCTGCGGGCTAAAAGTGATTTTTGCCTTATTTTCTTCATAAATCAGGAAAGAATTACATAAATAAAGAGTTTTATTTATAAATAAGAGTTGAAAAATTGAATAAATGTGAAAATCTTACCATCTACAATATGATCTGAATAAAATTCCTCCGATTTGCTTTTCATATTCAACCATTTCCTAACCACCACTTTAGTCCACGAAGACTGCAAAAATAAGTCAAAAATCAACTCATCTGTATTCATTCAAGAACACATAGTTACACCACTACTGTGTGTATAAAAATACACATACATATATTCAACTGAAACCAAACAAAGGAAAAAAAAATTAATAACTTAAAAAAATGTTACCTTTGGTATTTTTCGTTCTGTTTTCATGGCTGCAATGGAGCTGGAAAAAGAAATATAGAAGATGGTATTTATATTGAGATTGAGATTATAAGATAAGTATTTATGTCAACATAAGATGAGAAAAGAAGACGAAAGAAAGTTTGAAAAATGTAAATAATACATATAGTTTAGTGCGAGGGTTGCTATAAACAAGTCATTAATGGCGTTTTCAACGGTGGAATTTAAATTATAAAAAAGAACAATTTGTAGGAGATTTGGAGACAGTTTCTGAGAAGGGATCGTAAACGAAAAGAAACCAAACCCAAACCCAAAAATTTTAAAAAAAAAATTGTTAAATAATAAACATAGAATAAAAGAAAAGCCAGAGAGTTACTTTTGGTTGAAGATTATGTTTATTCTTTTTTAGGGGACTTTACAGAATGGAAAGACAAAGTGGAGATGTTGAGCAAATAAAGAAAAACACAAAAGGAAAATATATTACAAAAAGGTGAAGATCAAATCTTCAAACCCCATATTAATAGTAAAAACTTTTTTGAGTTCATTCCACTTAGTACAAACTACAAAATTTTGATTAAAATCATATTGATCTCTGAAAAACCCATGTGCAATAGTATAAAGATTCTGAACTAAAATATCAATTAAAGTGAGAAAATCAGTGATAGTTTTAATTACTATGTGATTGACCCATACTAAAGTAAAGTTCCAAGAAAATAAATGATGTAAAAATACTACAAAAAACAGAGTGTTTTTGTAGAAAACAGTCAATGGCATTGCTGATATCAGTTGAAAACAAGGCAAAAACTTTACCATATTGAAACTATGAATTCAATTTTTTCCCCAAGAAAATAAGTAAAAAGAACTCAGAAAAGTATGACAACACAAGGGGCACTTACTTATAAGTAAGGACTGATAGAATTTATTGGTTTTTGAACTTTTTGCAGTTTCTTGAGAAAATTAGTGAACTATATTTATCGATCTTTCCTTTTCATTTCTGCTATGTTTTTGCACGAAGAAAGAGAAGAAAGTTTTGGTTAGTTTAGGCTTATTGGTTGGTTTGTGAATAAAGAGGGAGGAGAAGAAGTAGTTCTGGTAGATTACCTCGGAAAAGCAAAAAGCTTTAACTGCTTCTCTATTTATACAATGATGGAGATAGAGAGAGAGAGACATTCAGATTTGCAAAAGAAATTGTATTTTGATTTTTGATCACTTTTAGGGATTGTTTGTTAGAGAATTTTTTTTGGTCCAAAATAAGAAAATTTCCATACAATCAACAGGAAATTAACTTTTTTTTTTCTAAAATATTCCAATGCGTCAAGTTAACAACATGCAAATTTTAATTATGGATAATTTAGTCAAAATACCTAAAAAAATTCTAAGAATTAGTATTTTATTAAGGGGTGTGTCAAAAGTCAAAATATCACTTATTATCCACCGAAGGGAGTAATGAATGAGATGTATTAGTAACACATGAATTCATTATGTTAGGATTATTTTATATCAACTGTTTGATATGCTTTTGAAAGGTCAATTTTGTCTTTATGCATGCTGATCCATATATTAAACACAATGTATTGCTAATGCTATGGTTTACTATATATAAGATTAGTACCGAATAGGGTATACCAAACAAGAAATTAGTAATAGCAAAGTTAATACATATATTATTTTTTTCTGCCAAACGACCCCCAAGTATATCTCTTTCTTCGATACATAAAAAGATTATAGGTAATTTTTTAATATGTATTAATTAGTAATTTATTAAAAATAATAACTTATCTATATTAAAATTCATTATGAAAATTTCTTACTTGGTTGACATATAGTATAACATAAATAAATTCCAAAAAGAGAGAGAGAGAAGAAAGGACATTGAAGTCCAGAAATTGATTGTAAAGGCTAGAAAGGTAATTTCAAATAGACAGAGACATATGATTTTCTTACGTGTTAATGGTTTCATTGGTTGTTTTCTAACCATAGAATAGAGTTGTATGTATAGGAACTCTGTCTTTTTCCTTAATTTTTAAAATATTTGCGTGATTATACTGCCATAAATTTGAAACTGGTTGGCTTAAATAAAGGAGAATCATTGGATTGTTAGTACTACTAATTACGGTTTAGAAAGATTTTGGAAGGATTCTTAAGAAATCTGTCTCAAATTATGTTAGTCTGTCAACTATAGTGAAACGTGCTTATATGTATTGTCAATTTTATTTATTAAAAATAAACGAGGTGAAGTTCTATGCACAAATGAAACAAAAAAATTATTATAAAACAAGTTAGAAAAGGTAATTACGAAAATAATTCTATGATACATGTTACTCTATCACAAAACTACAATTTTTTTGAGATATTTATTTGCCTTTTCTAATTTCTGTTTTCACGTGGGATATAAATATATAAAAAAACTAGTATGAGTTTAAGTAAAAATATTTATATGTTAAAATTGTAAATAACTTGTTATAATAAATTAAATTAATTTACTTATTTTAAAAAAATATTGTCGGTACATATATTTTAAATTCAAAAAGTATAAAGTAGAAAGAATATGGTTCTTGCTAGCTAGGTAATGAAATTACCAAAGGAGGAACATATTATATTTGTTTAGGTCATTTGGCAAACATATTGTTGGTCATAAAATACTTTTATTTCGTATTTCTTATATTGTTGTTATTTTATGTTATGTTATTTTATTTTATTATGATTCTATTGATGGTACTAATATATCGTCTTTTGTCGCCTTCTTGAGCCGAGGGCCTCCTGGAAATAGCTTCTTTGCCCCTTGCAGTAGGGTAAAGTCTGTGTACATATTACCCTCTCCAGATCTCACTTGTGGGATTAGACTAGATCGTTGTTGTTGTATATACTTACTACAAGCATTATAAATATTTAACATGTTTTATTATAATTATTGCACCATTGCCTCTAATCATCTTTTATACTTCATTTCATTCCATTATCACAGTGTTATGGCTTTATCCGCGTTAAATTAACAACATATAATTTGCAAATAAACTTTTCGAATAAGCATTCCTTTCGCCTCAAAATATTACTAACAATTAAAATTTTCGAATTAGACTCCCTTCGTCCTGCTTTAGATGGTCTTATTGAAAACTAGCAAATAAATTTGTCATCGAAATCATCGATACATACAAGCATAAAATAAATCAAAAAGTGAAATTAGAAAGTGATAAAATTATATGGATGTAGATTCATGATTAATAAATTGAGAAAATCAACTGTTTTCTTTCAGCCAACAAAATGTGACGAGGATTAGATTGTGTTATGTTTAATTATTTAACCAGATCAGACACTTGTCAGGGTTACTCATTTAAAACGTTAATTAAAGTTGAAAAAGTGCTAAATCCTATGAATTTATAGTGAAAGTGAATCAGTAGTAATCCAGGTAAACATTAATTAAATTTAAGACCATTTCAGTGGTTTACTTTTGAGTTTGTTTAATTGACTGTCTAATTAAACGTGTCAAACATAGAACTAATACACCCCTCAAATTTATTTGGATTTATTTTTAATAAATAACATGATTCAGTGACTAAGCTAATCAATACAGTGTAAATTCTTTAACATCATTATATATTGGATTTTTTAATGTATTTTCCTGATGAAGTAAATTTCGTTCTTTTCTGGCTTTCCTAAAAGCTAAACACCTGGGAAATTAACAATTTTGCTTATGATATCACTTTGTACAAGTGCTTTATTTTGAAATGGTTTGCTGGATTTTGAGTAGATTTCTTTTTCAATTTTTTATTTACCTCTTTGCTTCTTAAAGGGGGATACATTTACGACATGTCTCGTACTCCTAGCAGAAGGCATGCAATTTTTAATTTAAAAAAAAAAAAAAAAAAGGAAAGAGATAAATAAAGATAAGTTTAAAGTTGACTTTGTTTTTTCTTCTAATTAGGAGCTAATGGGATAAGAACATCTAACTAGACTTGATCAATGAATTCAAACTCAATTCTCCTATTCGAATTGTGAATTATTGATTAATAGGTATAATTGAAATCAAATTATATTACGTGGAACTGTAGAAGGTTGCACGAAATAAGTGGAGTTTTACATGTTTATTCAATGAATTGCTAAACTTCCTTTTGATATATGATCGAGAAATCTGCGAAAATTAGTGACATTTGATTCGGGTGAAAATTATTTACACCACTCAAATTTGCTTTAAATTGATATATAAGCCATAGCATTATCCAAAGTTGAGGAAAAAGTTTAATTTTTAACGCAAATTTGAGGGTGTAAATGATTTTCACCCATACGATTCGAAACAAATAATGGACCAGTCTATTTGCTCTTTTTCCTATTAAATATAAGAGTTTTGTCTGCACAAAGTTCAAACTCGTGAATTGCTACATTATAAATCAAACATAATAAATTGAGATTTCAAATTCAAATGAAATAGGAATATTTATGTGATGACCCAAAAGGTCATCACTTATTTTAGAAATAAATTCTGTATTTTGATGCCTTTAAAATCTTTTTTTGTATCACCTCAATTTGCGTGCGTAGTCCGGGCACGTAGCCGAAAAGCCATTATGTGAAAATCTGTGAAAAATAATAAAATTTACCTTTAAAATGAATTTAAGTTGACTTTGGTCAATATTTTGGGTGAATAGACTCGGACCCGTAACTTGACGGTCCCGGAGGGTCCGTAGGAAAATATGGGACTTGGGCATATGCCCGGAATCAAATTCCAAGGTCCCAAACCCGAGAAATAATTTTTTAAAGAAAATTATTTTCTGGAATATATGAGAGTTTTTAGAAATGAAAAATGTTTGGAAGTTGATGGTATCGGGCCCGTATTTTGGTTCCGGAGCCCGGTACAGGTCTTATATGTGATTTAAGTAGAGCCTGTAAAATTTGGTAAGAAACGGAAGTCGTTTGACGTGATTCGTACCTGTAGTTGTGAAAATTGATACTTTGAAAGTTTTGAGGTTTTTCTTAGATTTTTGTGTTAAATTCGTTGTTTAAGATGTTATTTTGGCGATTTGATCACACGGATAAGTTCATATGATGTTTTTGAGTTAGTATGCATGTTTGGTTTGGAGCACCGAGGGCTCGGGTGAGTTTCGGATAGGTAGCGGAAGGTTTTTAAACTTAAAAATATTGCAGGTTTTAAATTTTTGGTGCACAGGGATTTTGTGCTTCATGTTCGCATGGCTTCACTCGCGAACGCGGAAGGCAATATCCCTCAAGTGAAAAATTGTTCTTCGCGAACGCGAGGCTGTGGGGGGAGTACCCTTCGCGAACGCGTCCAGGCCCTCGCGAACGCGTAGGGTTAGTGGCCTGGGGGAGGGATTTCAAACTTACTTCACGCGAACGTGGTCACCTGACCACGAACGCGATGGCTCTGGGAGCTGAAGCTCCGCGAACGCGAGCTTCTGATCGCGAACGCGATGGTCAGCTGGGCCTGACCCATCTCGAACACGACAGGCCCATCGCGAACGCGATGAAGGCCTGCCCAGTGATTTCAAAACAAAAGCAAAATCGGGCAGAACCCATTTATTTTCATATTTTCAAAATTTGGGAGCATTGAGGCTATTTTCAAATAGCAAGTTCTTCCCCAAAGCATTGGTAAATGAATCTAAACCTTTTCTTTCGATTTCCCATTGCATTTCATCAATTTTTATCCTAAAATATAAGGTTTTTATGGTAGAAATTAGGAATTTGGGTAGAGTTAGGGCTTTTTGATTAATTGGAATTTAGACCTCATTTTGGGATCGAATTTCGAAATTAATTGCATATTCGGGCTCGTGGGTGAATGGGTGATCGGGTTTTGGTCCGAACCTCGAGTTTTGACCAAGCGGGCCCGGGGTCGATTTTTGACTTTTTGGGAAAAATGATAGAATACCTATAATTAAGCATTGGGTATGAATTCTTTAGCATTTATTGATGTTGTTTAACAATTTGGACTAGATACAAGTAATTTGGAGGCGAATTCTAAAGGAAAATCGTTTGAGGCTTGAGTTGGCCGTGGAAGTTTGAGGTAAATGTTTGGTCTAACCTTAGCTTGAGGGATTAGGAGTTGAGTCTTATTTTCTATGTGCTAATTGTGGAGTACGACTTATAGGCATGATGACGAG